TGTATTTACAGTCTTTTCTGAATGAGGTAGTTTCAGAGATTTCTGTTAGGCCTCTGTCATGGTGACAGCTATCACTGGTCAAAGAATAGCCAAGAGAGTTCTTCCAACTTCCAGGTGTAGCCATTCCAACAATATTTCTAGAAACCAGTGAGGACATGGGTCATTTATTACTTGAGGAGCATTTGCTGAATGTTTCTACCCTAACACTTGACCCTGTATGCTCCTATTCTAATTTTTGGGTTGTTCTTGGGAATCAGAAACCATTTGGACCCAATTTTCCTTGAAAATATGTACGCATTCCCCTTATCATTGTAGATTACTCAAGTATTGGTTATAGGTTTCTTTAGGAAGGGCAAGGAATTGCCTGTATCTCATTTTATACTACTGCTTAGATCTTCCTCATGGGAAACAGCTTCCTTTTAAGGCTTAGGTCTAGGGACTAAACAAAACATTGTGACTTTCTTTTAAAGCAACTGACCTTGGCCTTTGGCAAATCCATTCTTGAACTCTTTTGAATATATACATGTGCATCTTCATTTTGGCTTCCCATACATCTTGTCTCTATAAATATTGGGTTGTCAGAAAAGTCATGACATATTTTTCTATGCGAAAATGTGCATGACTTTTCTGACAACCCAAATAATATGTTCCATTAAGATATTCTAAAATCTTAATCTTCTAAGATATGCCACAAACTGCCATTCCAACCTCACTGCCCATTACGATAATTTTGACTACTTTACTTATGGCGTTTTTTCCTTTTTTTTTTTTTTTTTTTTTGAAGGATTTTTTTTGCTATAGCATATGTGTACTCTCCAGAGACGCAGAGAAAGCAGAGAGACAGAAAGTGAGAAATCACTCCTCTGGGGGGTTGGCCGCACCACAATCCCTTCTCCTCCATTCTCTTCTCAGGACTTTGGGTATACATGCATACGCGACCAGTGTGAATTTTAAGCTGCCAGGTCTGGAACTCAAACCACACTCGACTACATGAGAGTCCAGTGACATAACCATTACGCCATCTGCTGGTCTCATTTAGGACTCTTAACTACTGCTATCTGGCCTCTACTCTTTCATGATTTTATTACCCCCATTGTTACTAAAGAATTCTTTTTTATTTTTTTCAGAGTATCTCCTACTGACAGTTCCAACCTCCAGAAAACAGCCACATGTTTTTGATGATCGTAGCTCCCTTACCTGTGCATTTCTTATTATTTTGGTAAATAGTGTTTACCTGGTGTGTCCACCAAGGCATATAATTAGCTGGTTTTATAATTTTCCTTTTTGAGCCTTTTTCCTGACCTCTTGGCATCAAGATAACTTTCTCTACACTCTGCCCTGACAGTTCAGAGGTCTCTACCTCATGAAATGTGGGCTACACTTTTTCCAAGCTGCCAAGGAGAATCATCTTAGTAACATAGTACACTTGTATCCCAGGACTCCTGCTAAAACATCAACTCCTATGACATAGACTAGATGGAATATATTGAGCCCATATTAATAATCACGCTTCTAGCTTGATATTCTCTCCTTGGTCCCCTTCTCCAGCTCCTCCAGAATCCACTCCCAGATGTTGTGTCCTGGTTGCTGCTAATGAATCAGCGAGGTTCTGAAGCTATTTGATGTATAAGTGCTTTCTTCCTTTACTCAATCTAGCCCTTCTCCAGCTGGGTTATGCTAGCATTGGCCCTAGTGACAGGTCAGGTGGCCAAGAGAGGAAGAGGTAGAAAACCTGAGAAAGACAAGCATTGTCTTACAATGTACTTGCCTCATATGAGTCCTCTGACTATCTTTCAAGTGTGGGGGCTTGGACATCTATCTCCCCAAGTAAGGAGTAATGGGCCTCTTTTGCAAGGTCAGAATGAAGCTGGGAATTCAAGATTCTGAAGCATATCCCCATACATCTTCATCCCAAATCCTAGGATCCTTCCTTATCCAGATCCCAACTTGGTATCAGAGGCTTGATAAGGCTGAAAATTTAATCTATTTTGAAGTTCTGACACTCTTATAACTTAGTCCTTTGCCTGGTTTTCAATTCTTCTGCCCTCTAACTATTGTGGATTAATGTCTCTTTAAATGCAAAGACCTCTCGCTCATGCTTTGCTTTAAATTGTTAGTAGATCTGAGGCTGTTACTCTTTAGTGCATCAGTGGCACTCAATTACCCCTTTCCCCATATCTCTCCAAGACTGGAGACATTGCACCAACTGGTACTCCCCTCCCTCCTGTGTCTCATCTCAGTTCACTGTAGGAAAAGTAATCTTGGTAATCACCAACCACATGTGGTGGTGTCTCCTTGCCATGTAACTGGCTCTGTATCTACCTCCCTAGCTCCATCCTTACAGTTTGTGTTCTGGAACCATTTCTAGTAGTTAGTGTCTTCGCTCAGAAGCACAGACTGAGACACAGAGCCTTATGGAACTGATTGATTGAAAGCATGCTTTCAGAAGGGAATGAAAGAGGAAACATAAGACAGGGAGGAAAAGGAAAAGCTCTGTAAGGACGTGACCTCAGCTGAAGATTAGCTTCAGCTTGGTTCCTCAGGGAAGCTGAATGCACCCCAGAACTGGTTCCATCTTGTGGCAAGGAGGCTGGGTTGTGTTCCCCATCAGTCAATCATTGGTTGCAGCTGCCCTGTTTGGGTAGGAGAGCATAACCTCTTGCCCTCGGTGGCCTTCATTTCACTGAGTGCAGTTTTCTGCTAGCTTCAAAAATGCACAACTGGGATATGAAAGCTGTGGCCAGGGGATGGGATATGGGCAGGTAATCAACGGCATCTACAACGATGACCTTGGGGACCAGGATAATAGTTTGCTAAGCATTTAGCCATCTTGTTTGGGAATTTTGTCCTTTCTCTGTATTTTCCACTCTGGATAGAACTGCTAAGACACGGTCAGTGTTGGTTTAGTGTTTATGACTTTCCAAAATACATGACTGGAGAAACTATCAGACTAAATACTACTCACACATCAGGGATTACCTGTAAATACAGGTTTTTATGATTTTTTAAGACCGACATAAGATTTTGTCATTTACAGGGGTCATAGCCTATGGAAATTCTGGGCTTATCAGTACATTTCAACATCAACACCCACTCAGAAAAGTCCCCTATTTATGATGCTATTTATTGCCAAAAGAAAGGCAATTTTATGATGCTATTTCAAAATTTTCTTTGTTCATTTTCACATAAATATGTATTTTAAGGAAGTTGTATGCCACAGATTGCAATTTTCATAATCTGCAAATTTAGAAAATTCTCTAAACAAAATGTGAGGACTTCGTAATGAGAAGAGGCAATGCATAAAGCAAGTCAATTTTTGTGGACCAATGGCAATTTTTGGAAAATCTAAATAATATTGATCTAAGAAACCTTAAACTTAGGACCGCTGGAGAGAACCACATGAGGAGCAGAAATAGAGTCTCCAATATTATTAGGTCTTTTATTCTAAAATAAACATCTAGAATCTATTATCTTTGTGACTGCCACCAGAGGGCACCATAATCTTTGTAGACAATCAAAACACAGCCATTGAACACTTGCCAGGGAAAGGTTTTATCTTTAAGGAAGCAACAGTACAAGGCAGAAAATGAACACCAGGAGTATATTTCAAATTTTTCTTTCATATCATTTTACTAGGTATATTTTCTCTTATTTTTATTGTCATCTTACAAGTCAACCTCAAAAACACAAAGCAAGAGAAATGAGCCATGCCTCTTTTTCTCAGTTTAGTCGAAGTAGTAGGTGACAAGGAATGAGAGCACATGAAATTGAAGGTATTATTTCCACATTCACATCTTGCCCCCAAACACCATGCAGTGCTAAAAGTCACAACCCCATCATGCAAGGACATTAAAATATATGGCAGCTAAAATTCTTGGTTTTTATTATGGGGTGTTAAATGTCTCATTGGTGCATGCTTCCGCTTTGGACTAAAGGCAAAGAAATATCACTACAGAGCAGTGAAGTCTCACGGCAAGAGAATAAAGACTTTTTTTTTACTAAATGGAGAATCCATTTTTAATGTTTCCTACGTGATACTGTGGTAGTTTGGGAAAAAGTAAAATACACAGAAGACACAAGGAAATTGCTTTATTTTTATTCTAGAGAATGTGTGAGTGTGTACACATGAGAGAAAGAGAGTGGGAAGGAGAAAGAAAGCATTCCCCAAAGGAGCTTGGTCATATTGCAATCCTTTTTCCTCTAATTCTCCATCCCATCAGGATCCTTGGCATGTACACGTTAGGTCTGGGAAGCAGACCCTGAGCCAGCCATGTAGGAGCTGCAAGCACTAACCACTGCACGACGGAGACAGCTAGACATTTATTTTTTCCTGTTTCATAGCCAAGGGAAACACATGGTTCCTCAATGTCTCATTTACTGAAATGGGTAGCTTTCTCAGAAGGGTGGAATTATTCCCTTTTCCCATTTCACAAAGGTTGCAAAAAAATCAAGTTTCAGGGCCTTTTGTTTAATTATATATTATAGGAGCCAGCAGTTAGCGTAATGCCATGTCGCTGGACTCCCATGTAGTCAACTGCAGTTCGAGTCCCGGACCCAGTGGCTTAAACTCACACCGGGTACGTGTGCGCACGTGCCCAAGATCCCAAGAGGAGAATGGAGGAGAAGGGATTGCGACATGGCCATCCCCTCCCCCCAGGGTGGGGGGAGGGACGGCGGTGATTGCTCACTTTCTGTCTCTCTGTCTCTCTCTGTCTTTCTGGCGAGTGCAAGCACCCAATAGCAAAACCTCTCAAAAAAAAATTTATATATTGTAAAACCCTAGGCAACTTTGTCACCACCCACTTCTAGAACCAATTTCTCTAATGAAATAAGCATACAAAAATAAAGAAATTGGAAAACTCCAATCCTATATATTATCTTGTAAATGACTGGAGGAGAGATACATTCTAATGCTTCATTTGGATATGGCAGCTTTTCACAGGAAGTGGCTTCTGGATGGGCATCCTCTGTACTTAAGTTACTCACAAAGTCCTTTGTGCAGCTATATCAAAATATTGTCTTCATTACAAAGAGATAATTGTCCATGAATTCAAATATGGCTTAAATCTGTGTAGCACCTCTCCTCAAAAGACTTAGAAATGTTCTTTCTTCTAAACTCTTTCACCTCTATGGCATGTGACTTGAAGGCTAAGGAAATCATCATCTTTACAAGGAAGAAACGAAGAAGGGAAAGTCAGTGGACTAATGAGTTGTCACCTAGTTGGTCTCCAGCATCTCACAACAGGACATTTCTTAAAAGGAAAACAAAATGCTCTCCATCTCTTTGAATAAACTTCTTTCATCCGAGGATCTCACTGCACCTAACAAATGGTTTGAGTTACAGAAGGCAAGAAAGAAGTGAAGAGTAATTAGGGTAAACCCCAGTGCACAGCCAGCCAAAAGCAGGTCACTTCAGGACCATTAGAAGAGAGGGAACCAGTGGCTTCATCAGACTTGAAATGATGACATAGTCAAAAGCCACCATGGTCAGCCATGTGCTGAACCCAGTGCCAAGGAGGACACAATCTACAGCAAACTGACCACCTCCAGCAGACCTACCGCTAACCGCAACTTTGCGAGACAGAGGCTGAGTCTTGAGGCTCCAACCCACATTCTGGCTTCACTACTTGGGGCTCTGGGACAGGCACTTCACTAGAACAATAATCCACAATCATGCAATGGGGTAGGTGGCAGGAGGGTGGGAGAAGTTTGCAAATTGCATGCCAATTTGTAAAGTACAAAGTGCTGTGTAAACATAAGGCATGGGTTTCATCTTGAAATCTGACTCCAAACACAATCTATTTCTCAGACTTTCTGAAGTCGTAATCATACATTTTAAAATTCTGCCTAGGACTTTGATTCTATTTGAAGAAGGAAGATTTCTTAAAAGCAACAGATGTCCTTAAGATGCAGGACTGATCATTGGATTCAGTGATGTTGACCAGTGAGAACATTGTTATCAGGCTCCAATTTGCATCTGTAGGCTACCAATAGTAAAAGATCAAGAGATTCTCCATACAACCCCAAAAAAGGAGTCCTCGTCAGGTCCTCATCCCTAACAGGTACCATAAGTTTAGACTCAGAGATTCTCTACTTCCTTCCTGAGCAGCCATGGTTCTGCCATTCCACAGCCCACAGACTACAGCTATAGTGATGGGTATAGGAATTTCCTTTTAATGCCCAGAAACTACTCAAAATCCATTTTAGAGATGACCGACCCCCAAGCAATAAACTGGAAGTATTTTAGTTTTCCCAATTATCTTTGGACCAGAAAAAATGACTTGAGGTCAAGAGAAACTACCAGGCCACTCCAACATTGAGTATCCTGGAAGGTGTCACCCACACACTCTTCCTCTTGCTCCTCTCTGTCCCCCTGCCCTCCTCACAGTGAAGGTTGGAAACTCACAGAAGCATCCCTCCTTTCTAACCCCACCTAGTTCAGAGCAAAAGCATTCACATAGAAATCACTAAGGAGCAGGGAGATTTTGGTCCAGAAGGGCAAGGTACAAAGTTGTGCACTTCAGTTTAACTTTCATTTTGGGAGTTTGCAAAGTAATCTTTAATTAACAAAGCAGAATCTCTAGATGAACTTTCTTAAAGTGACTGAAAAATAACTTTAAATCTTGATTAAGTATTCTCATGGCCTGTTTTGCCTTTAAATTTGAATGGAACCAAATAATTTAAAGAGAGAGGTCAGTTAAATATGTATAATGAAAAGCCAAAGTAAAATATTGGAATATAGTCATGAACTCTGGACAAAAGATTTAGGAACTCTTCATTTTTGGAAAAACTGTTTGAAAGTCTACAGGTTGATGCTGCAAACCAACAAATAAGTAAGTGGAAGAATGCTTCACGTTATTTCCTGTTTTGTTTCTTTCCCTCAATACTGTTGACATCGGAAATCTTGAATAATCAGCATTCTAATAGGTGTACAAGAAAGAATAACAATAATTTTCAGAGGGAAGACGTTAAACCATTGGCCTCTCCAGCCAGAAGCATCAAGGTCTACACCAAGAACACCAGCCATTACTTCTCTGAGGTGATTACCATAAACTTACCTGTGAATGCTTCATCTGGCTAGACTCTCCTAAGCGTTTGCTGGGCCAAACTGGTTGAGTTATCCTCTATCTTAGAGAAGCTTCTAGTACCACAACTTGCTTCCTAGTTTTTTGTTTCTGTTTTTGTTTTTTCCTTTTCTTTCTTTTTTAATGCTAAGATTTTGGTTACAGAGTATTAAGATTTCCTAGTAAAGCAGAGGAAATAGTAAACAGCTATTTTCATTTCATTTGCAGATGCAGTTCAGGTGGTCATTTAATTTTGAATGCCAAGCCATAACTTTTGAAATTACAAAATAAATGTGTTATTAACAATTAGCTAGAAGCAAATAGGTCCAAAGAGGGTTCTTGGTAGGTTGTCGTTATTACCATGATGAAAAACATTCACTGTGATGAGTAAGTGAAGACTTTCATAATGTTTCCCTGTGAACTCTCTTTAACAATAATGCCCAAATTTTGATTAGTCTGTAGTTAAGAGATTTCATTGGTTGTGTTTCATTTGGTCTAAGGGTTGTACACACACACACAACATAAAGATTAAAGTTTATTTAACAGAAGAGATAACCTAAGATGCAATCCTTTTCTGCTTAAGAAAGTGACAAAAGAAAGACAAACTTAAGAGCCTGGGTTGAGAGGTGTAGACCAAAAGACAGCAAGAAACCAGAAAATGAGAAATTATGAATGCATGCGTCCATATTTTTCACCACAAGATTTCCTGAGCATTCCTCATACATTATAGTGCAACATAACCTCAGTAAATCAATAGTATTCCTATTTTTCTCAAGCAAAAAGTATATACTTCTAGAATATATATTGAGCAAAACATATAATAGTATACCATCTTTAAAACACTAGTAATTTGAGCTTCTATAAATATATTTAAATAACAAACATATTAGAGAGAGCTATTCACATAGCACACAAGTGACAGATAAACATACAAAAATAAAAGTCATGTTCTGACTCTTGTTATCTTTGTTGGATTTTTTGGGTAGAAGGGGAGACTGGGGGCTCAGTGAAAATACTAAAGCATTTTAAACACCAGAATCATCTTCTCAATATTGCTCCCAGGAACCTGAATACAAGTCCATACTGTGTATAGGTACCACCGCCAAGAACAAAAGCAGCAAACATGGCTCGCTGGGTTTATTCGACCTCCCTGTGGCTGTTTAGAAACCTAGGCTGAAGCAGAGGTCTGCAACTACAAGAGTTTTCTCTCGCTGTTGTGAAGAAAGAAACACTCGTCAGATCCTCCAGCTTGCGTAAAGTGTGAAAATGTCAAACTGTCCTGTGAGTGAGTGGAATATCGAACACGCCTCCTCTTGCGCTCTCCCACACACTCTCTCTGAAACATTTCTCAGCAAGTGGAAAGGGTGCCACCACTCTGTGCCAAAGGCAAGGAATTTTCATTCTGCTCCAGTAAGTTCTCTAGAAAGCATTCCACCAGTCAAAAAATGATCTGGAGAACAAAGCTACCCAATCAGGTGGAATATCTACATTCTTCCTTTGAAAAAGAGAATGTTTGTAAGAATAATTATCCCTGGTTAAAAAAAAAAAAGAAAAAGAAAAGAAAAAAAAAAAAAACTTGATCTTTTGCCCATACAATGTTGTAACTCTCTTGAAAACACAAGGAACAAAAGACGTACTTCTCACATCCCAACCTGAGCCGAGCATCACTGTTCTCTACCAGGAGTAACACAAAACATGTTCAACTGAACTCAATCATTCCACTCTCGATGATGTGGAACAGCTGGAACAGCTGGAACAAGAAGTCCTATCCATGACTTGTGATTGTCTTCACCTAAATTGCATCTTCAGAGGAGAAGATGCTTGAGAACTTGCTTTCAGTTTTCCTTTTAAGGAAAAATGGTAGCTCTGGCAATATCTTGGACAGTTGCTTGTGGGAAAACATGAAAGGAGAGAATTCTGGCTTTTTCTCAAATAGAGTTTTCAACACAGGTGGGAGATGGTGATCTCTTGAGTTCCTGTGGGGTGCCGTCAGGGACAGGTGTGGGGTGCTGCTGTTGATAGATGTCCTGGATCAGCAGGGTGTTCATGACCTTCCATTCTCTGTATTTCCTGGCTGTCAGCTTCGGATCATCCAGCAACTGGTTAATCATGGCCAGGTCATGTTCTTTACACTATTCAAGTAGGAAAAAAAAGGAGGAGAAGGGATGCTGTGAGTATCTTAATTGCAACAAACTATCTTCATCAGTTCTTTTACAAATTCACATATACATTCATCATAAAGTTACTGCAGTGTTTTTGCACATTAGTATTCTAATCCCTGCATCTTTAAGAGATGTGGCAGGTCATCCAACTACATATGCAGCCACAAAGAAGTGTCCTGTCCAAGAGTGAGTAGAAGAACTAGACATACACTCAAGGTTCTGTGTTTCTTTCCCTGATCAATTCATTATTACACATGACAGAAATCATTCTGTCTGAGACTAGTAGATGGAGTAATGGTTATGTCACTGGACTCCCACATACCTGAGTGTGGTTCGAGTCCCAAACCCGGTGGCTTAAAATTCACACCATGTGTATGTGTGCCTAAAATCCTTAAAGGAGAATGGAGGAGAAAAGATTGTGCCATGGCCTTTCACCCCTGGGGGATGGTTTCTCACTTCTTATCTCTGTCTTGCTTTCTGTCTCTGGTGAGCATACCTGACCTATAGCAAAAATCTCTATTAGAAAAGAAAGAAAGAAATGATTCTATCTTGATGTGAGCACTATTCCTCCTGTAACGTAAAACTGATCATCTAAACTTCACCAAGTGAATCTGGGACATGATCCTTTACCTAAGACCCAAGGGTACACAAAACACATTTTAAAGATCTTTTTATTAATTAAATTATCTAATTTTTAATAAATGACATTTAGTCTATATACAGAGAGAATATATAGACTAAATATACAGGTTATCTTTTTATTCAAAGAAGAGACTAATAACCTTCCAGCAAAATGTTGTAAATTCCAATAATGCCGATAAATAAATAATAATCTGTTAATACTATTTGACCCTGTCTCTTCTCTAATCAGTGTACACATTTCTAAAATGCCTGGCTCAGGTTAGAGTTTTCTTTAGTCAAGGAATGAGAAAAATAAGATGTATTATTCTCCACAAAAAAAAAAAAGGACATAATTCAACCCTGACAATTTTATCTCAAATAATTTTCCATTTTCTCCATTCCTACAATCAGTCCTAATTCTGGATATATAGCACAATGTATCACACTTGATCTCCTGCTACAGCCTCCAAAGTGAGGTACCTGCCTCCAATCCCCTTTTCTTTCTTTTTTTTTTCTTTTAGAGGTTTTCGCTATAGGGCGCGTGCGCTCGCCAGACAGACAGAGAGAGACATAGAGACAGAAAGCGAGAAATCACCCCCCAGGGGGGATGGTCATGCCACAATCCCTTCTCCTCCATTCTCCTCTCGGGATCTTGGGCATGCACACACGTGCCTGGCGTGAGTTTAAGCCACCGGGTCCAGGACTCGAACTGCAGTCGACTGCATGGGAGTCCAGCGACATAGCCATTACACTAACTGCTGGTCCCCCCTTTTCATTTTTTTAAGTTTATATATTTATTTCTTCCATGAGAGACAGGCAGAGATAGAGAGATAGGCACCCACGGTAGTCCTCACACCAAGATCCACCCCCAGTCTCAGACAGCCCAGATTACCCACTTTAAATCCACCCTCCATATGGCAGTGCAGGTCTCCACCTGAATGCTGAGTCCCTTTAATGGTCCCTTGTAGCGTCCAAGGTTCTTGATGTGTGTTAGCTCCATTTGTTGACCCTACAGTTCTTACTTTACCTTCCAGGCCTAACAGTAATGACAAGAATTTTCTCACCCACACAGTGCAAATCCACATCTCCCTGATGTGCCACGTGGAGAGCCTTGCCCACTTCGCTGCCTGATGGACAAGTTGCTTTCATGTGGAACACTTTCTCATCGTCACCAATTTGTCTGTCACCCATAAATCTATACTCATTTCAGATGTCATATTTTCCAAAAAACCTTTCTTGAACCACCAAATTGGACTGAAACCCTTTTTAATTTATACTCTATTGCCTTTTCATGCTTAGAGTCTTCTCAGAACTTATTGTGGCACATTAAGATGCTGAGGAATCTGTCTATCTTAAAGCTTGAAGATGGTGACAGGAAACATACCTTCTTCATCGCTTTTTACCTGGCACCTAACACAAAGCCAGGCGCCGTGGGGATATTCAGTCAGTATTCACAATTGGACCAGTCTCTCTGCCTACTCCCAGGACAGCTGTGTTGCTCAAGCTTCACAACCATGCTCACTGGTCTCACTTCAAATTCACTGTAAGTGGACTTTCACTGCTATGTAGTCATCATATTTTCACATCCCTTTTCTCTCAAGCTGTTCCAAGTGACTATTTCAAAACTCCTTTAAAACCTCCTCTCCCATTGTCATTCACTGCTGATGACTTTGCTACTATTATTTGAGGAAATAGAAACTATTGGAGGGTATGTCTTCCAGGTTCCCATTACTCACTCCCTGCATCAGCCCCTGCTCATATAGGTGAAACAACTGTGCAGCTTGCAAAGTCTCATCCCTGGACTTGGTCACTATTGCCCCCCACCCCTCCAACACAGGGAATTCTCCCTTCTCCTATGACTCATCGGTTTCCCACCTCCTCTGGTCATTCTCACTGGTGTACATGGATGCTGTTATTTCTTCCATCTTTTTTTTTCTTTTTTCTGTTATTTTATTTCAAGTCTTTTTTTTTTAATAAATTCAATCACATTATTTAGGCTGCAAAGTGCATATTCTAACGTGTTCATTTTTCCCCAGTCCAATTGATAATACCATAAAGTTATCTTCAATAGATAATACCCCATTACTTTGTCCTGTTAATGCTACGCCTCTCTACTTTTCTTTTTTTCTTTCTTTCTTTTTTTTTTTGAGAAGTTTTTGCTATAGGGCGTGTGGGCTCGCCAGAAAGAGAGAGAGAGACAGAGAGACAGAAAGAGAGACCCCCCGGGGGGATGGTCACACCGCAATCCCTTCTCCTCCATTCTCCTCTCTGGATCCTGGGCACGCACGCACACGCGCCTGGCATGAGTTGTAAGCCACTGCATCCAGGACACAAACCGCGGTCAACTAGGTGGGAGACCAGCGACATAGCCATTATGCTAACTGCTGGTTCCCGATCTCTCTATTTTTCTCCTTAAAGTCCTTCCTCAGACTCTACTCCTTCACCCACCCTCTTCCCACACTATATCTGGTACTCACAACCATTTATTGTGTTTCTATATCCTTTAGTTATTCAGTTTCGGTGATAGAGTGCAGACACTCGGTATATATTAAGTGGAGATATACAACGTCTCTTCTTCGTAGCCTGTCTTGCTTCACTCAGCAGTAAATCTCCCATGTTAAGAGTCCTCCCTGACCTCAGTCCCCATCAGTAAGTGCTCTACTTTTCTCCCTACCTCCAAAGCCCCCATGCACATTCTTTCACAGACTTGCTCCACCAGGCTTTTGCCCTCATTGTTCCACCAGAACTGCTCTTGTGAAGGCCACCAGTAACCGAATGTTGCTTAACCTAAGAACCAATGATCTATCTCCAAGTTATTTAACAACAACATGTTGGCTTCTCCTTTTCCTTGAACATTTGTTTCCATTGCTCTGTGACACATTCTCCCGATCTTTCCCATCCCACAATGGCCACTTTTTTTCCAGTCTCCTTTGCTGGTTCCTCCTCATCATCCAACCTCTTCACACTGGAGTGTCCCAGAACTCCAGCCTTTATCTTCTCTGTTCTGTCTATATCGATGCTACGTTGTCTTTTCTTCTCTCTTTATATGCTCATGGTTCCAAATCTGTGTCTCCCCTTTCTCCTCCCCTGGCCTCCTACCTATTTGTTATAACTTCTTCTTCCCACCCAAGCAGCTCCACTTGGTCACCTAACAGGCATCTCAAATATGACTCATTCCAAACACAGTTTCTCTTATTCTCTACACCCTACCCCACTCCCATTTCATACTGAACTCTGCTCTTACCATCGTCTTCTGCAAGCGCCTAGGCGCAACTCCATCTTCCCAGTTGTTCAAGGCAAACATTGGTGCGATCTTTAACTCTTTCTGGTATACCCAGTCCTCCAGCAAATCCTGGTGGTTATCCCTGCAGATATGTCAAACTGTGCCATACTTCTGTGCAGAGCCTTCAGAGTAGATGTGAAGGTTTTGCAATGGCAACAAGGCCCTACTTGACAAGTCCCTCACTGCTCCTCTGGCCATTACTGCTCTCCCTCACCTCTCATTCCCCCTGTACTCCAGCCACACTGACCTCCTTACTCTTCCTCACACAGTCAGGCACACTTTCCCCAAAGCATTAGCAGTTTTGTTCCTTTGGCCTGGAACACCTGGCCTCAAAATGTTCATTCTTAAAACCTATTTTCAGCTTCCATACAAAGTTCATCTTTCAAAGAGGACTTTCATGCCTTTCCTCATTAAAAATCAATCCCTCAACCTTCTCTATCCCTCTCTTTTCTATCTCTAGCATATCTATCACTACTTATCACACAAAAATTTTTAATAAATAATTATGCTTATTCCCCTACTGAAATGTGGTGTTCATGAGAGTCAGCATTTTTGTCTGATATCCCCACTGCCATATTCTCTATTGCCTGAAAGAATAATTGATACAAGATAGACATTGACTAAATACTGGTTGAAAAAATGAATATACAAAATAAGAAATGAGTGAAAGGATTACTCATTTGCTTTTTAATACCGTTATATCATGAACCCTATTTAGAGTCTGAGGAAATACCCTCTGTAAACAAACTATATACATACCAATAGACGAGAAGATGATGATAAATAGATGATAGACAGACAGATAGAGATGATGATAGACAGAGGCAGACAGGAGGCCTTGCTTCCAGGAGAGAGAAGAAAAGAGTGCAGTTGGAAGGTACGTGGGGACAGGTAACGGGATGGTGAACAGGACCCAGAAGCAAAGGAAACAATGGTTAAATGAGTAACTAAAAGGACTGTTTTTAGAAAGGCAGGTCCAAGAGAGAGTTGAGAGTGTTATTTCTTCTTCTTGAGTTCTCCATATCTGCACTGACCACCACCCCACACACACACAAAAAAGAACAAAATGGATAACCTTTCACCCTCTGTTATCACCAGAGTGTTATTAGTATAAAGTTATTTAAGGAATTTTATTTTTTTCTAAAGAAATGTAGACATCTGATTCAGAGGGAGATCTTAATATTCTATAGAAAAAAATAAGATTTTGAAGATTAACAAAAATTTGGAAAATCAATTTTAAAAAAGCAAAACCAAAATAACCACCTCTTTAAATCTTAAAGAAGTTTTTAGTAACATCTCTCTTCAATTTGAGACATTTAGGCTAGCATTTCTCTTGTATTTTTTAGCAACAGATATGGTCTTTAAACAATTTAAATTTTGGGCCATTTGGTTCAACTCTGTGTTATCTCTTTTATGGATAAAAGAAAAAGAACTATGGACAAGAACACAGAGGAAGGAAATGAATGAAACAACAAAACCTGGCTCCTTCCTAGAAGAGACCTCCAGGAAGTCAGAGCATCACACATTGGCCCTGCTTCTCCTGGAGGCTGCTGGAGGCTCAACCAAGGTTCGGAACTGCTTTTGTAACGTCCGCCTTGCTTTCTGGCAAGCAAGCAGTGGTTGGCAGAGGTTTCAAAAATTTCTTGAAAAACATTATGCCATACTTTACATTTTTACTCCAAGTATTCAACACCTGACTCAAGAGCTAAACATTGGAAATGCACTCGGTCAGAGCAGTTTCAAGGAAGGGAAACAGGACAGAGTAACTCTTAAAAGACTTTCAATTGGGCCCATTAATCATTTTAAAATAAAGACAAGCTTGGCCAAAAGTCAATGAATGTTGAGTTGTCAGAAATTCTGGAAGATTTACACTTAGTGTATGCTATTGTACTTTGCTCAACTTCCTAGGAGAATTTCCCTAAAGAGAATTCATTCCAATATGACCCCAGTACAGGACATTTTCTTTATTTATGGAATATTAACAATATCGTTAACACAATTTCCTTATTTTTGCATAAAGCTGTTATTATATTTGCTTGTCCACAATCTGCTTGTACAGTGTCATTTTTTAAATAAACATTTTTAGAGCAGTGTAAGTGTACATAGGAAAAAAGAGCACAAATGAAAAGGTTTGCTCTTGGTGAATTGTCACAAAGTGAACTAATCTGTGTAACCAACATCATGATCAAAAAAAGGACCCTTGCCCAGCTCCTCAGAAGATCCACTGTTCTCCTTTCCAGGAATATTCTGTCTTCCTCAAAGGCAACCACTATCCTGGCTGCTTTGAATTTTAAAAATAATTTAAGGGGCCAGCAGGTTGTGTTGTGAGTGGTAATGTTCTAGACTCCCACATGGCTGACTGGTTCAATTCCTATATCCAGTGGCTTGTTTCTTCACCTTTTCTTTCTCTCTCTCTCTCTCTCTCTCTCTCTCTCTCTCTCTCGCAAATGTGCCCTTTAGAAAATTAAAAACTAATGATGATAAATACAGTTAAATGAATAACTAATTCCTAAAAACTTAAAAATGATAATTTAAAATAATTATTGTAATCTTTCAACAGAAATAAATATACAAGTACCAAATTATTTATCTCTGTTGCATTTTTTTTCCAGAGATATTTTTGCTATAGGGCTTGGGAGCTCACCAGACACACAGAGAAAGACAGAGAGAGAGAAAGTGAGAAATCATCATCTTCAGGGAGTTGGCTACGCTTCAATCCCTTTTCTTTCATTCTCCTCTTGGGAAGGTGGGTATGTACACACACATACCCAGCATGAGTTTCAAGCTACCAGGTCTGAGACTCGAACCACGATCAGCTATGTGGGAGTCCAGCACCGTCACCACTACACTATCTGCTGGTCCCTCTCCATCGAATATTGATGTGCTTTGTCTTGTTTCTGTTTTCAACAAGGCTAATTTCCACATCATATCTTATATCCTGAGATTGATAGACCCAGATAGCATAAGTTAATTTCATCAGCCCCAGAACTACACACTTTTGTGAGGCCTCAAAGATCTCTGGAAAGGGCTGCATTCCACAAATAGATGTGACCCCTAATGTTCTCTACTCCCTAATGTTTACCTAATCTCCTTTCTGAGTGTGGGCTCCCCAGGGACTTCTACTGATAGAATACACAAAATAATATGATGTCACCACTGAAATTGGGTTGTAACTTATCTTGCTCACTCTTTTAGTGTTTTGCTTGCTCTGAGAAAGCTTTCAAGTTGTAAGCTGCCCTATGAAGATGCTCACATGACAACCAACTGGAGATAACATGTAGCCAGTAGCCAGCGAACAGCTGAGACTCTCAATCCAACAATCTGCAAAAGGACTGAATCCTACCAACAACCACATGTGAGAGTTTTGAAGCAGACATCTCCCAGTGGAGGAACGAATGCAGCCCAGCTGACCCTGTGATCACGGTCTTGTCAAAGGCTTAGAGGCAGGAATATCTGTCCAACCATACCCAGATTCCTCAAACTCAAAAACTCCAAAATAATAAATGTTGGTTCTTTTTTTAATTCTTTTTTTTTTTTTTTTGAGAGGTTTTTGCTATAGGGCGCGTGCGCTCACCAGACAGACAGAGAGAGACAGAGAGACAGAAAGCAGGAAATCACTCCCCGGGGGGATGGCCACGCCTCAATACCTTCTCCTCCATTCTCCTCTCGGGATCTTGGGCATGCATGCACACACGCCCGGCGTGAGTTTAAGCCACCGGGTCTGGGACTCGAACCACGGTCAACTACGTGGGAGTCCAGCGACATAGCCATTACGCTAACTGCTGGTCCCAAATGCTGGTTCTTTGAAATTGTTAAGCTTGGGGGATAATTTGTTACTTAGCACTAGGTAACTAATACATGGGGAGAAAACCAAAAGCTAGTGAATTTATCCACATTATGGGGAAAGTGGACAGAATAGCAGAGCTCACAGAGCCCCTTGTGGGTGGCAGAACCTCTGAATCATTTTACCAACCTAGGCTCTCAGTGGTCGAGTAGGGGAATAATTCTAAGTCTGTGGGACCATGGGAAGCCTGAGGTCACATTCTCCTGTGCACAGACCAGAACACCCATGCCACTCTTAGCCTACTCCCTGTTTCTCCTTACATGCACTGCAGTAAATCACCCAGTGATACATACTCCACTTCCTCAAATGCCCTACTTTCCTCTCCCTGATATTCTTCATCTCTCACTCACAGGCCAGCTGTCAATAACTCTGAGATGTTATCCCCATTGCTCCCATTGGTCGCTTCTGTTCTCTGGCTACCCAAATACCCTGAGTACCCAGCTTGATACTTATTATGTTGTGCTTGCCATTTGTATTCTTCTCTGTCACCATTGCTGAGTGGAATCCACTCAATGGTCCCAATGCCCTGGCATAGTGCCTGGTACACAGAAAGATTCAGGGACTCTCCAGTCAATGAACATTGTATTCATTCACTTTAGCCATCACAAATGAAAAGGACTACAAAATCCCAACATGCTAAGGCCTATTTCATGGAATGACCAGAATAGAACTATCTCTCATCACTAAATAGTAGAGAATTCTCACGCATCTGTGTTTTCTTTGTGTAATGAAAATGCACTCTTCATTTTATTTCCCAGCCTCATTTGTGTGACCTTTTAGGGTGCTTAGATCTAATGACTAACTGGGATGTCTGACTGCCAGTCATTCAGCCATTTCTTTGTAGGCTTGTCCTTTTGATTGCTGGTATTTTTTCCTGGAAAGGGACTTAAATTCTTAATGCAAAACGATGTGTACACAATAGAATTAAATTGTAGGATCTATGAGAGTTTTCAGGATCTATAAATCTGCTAATTTAGGACTATTCTACAAAGTACCCTGGCCTCCTTTTATTCATGCTGAAATCCAAATGTGAAGGCAGGATGCTCTTTGTTATGAAGGACCATTTTAGTTTGGGAGGCCCTGAAATAGCTTCAGTACATCCTGTACACTGTCCCTTTTTTCCATTGTGAAAACATCTGCTGGTCCATTGCCACAATGCCATATTTCCCACTGCTCTACTGGTGGGACTCCTTGGCTGCAGAGACTACAGCTGACAGTCACAAAGTCTTTCCTGTCTCTGAAATCTAGAAACTTTGCTCTGGATTCAGGGGGAAAAGAAGGGCACCCCTTAATGAATCAGGTAGAAACCCAAGGTCTTATTACATTACTGTTTATTCTCACCAGCTGATGATCTCTGCCTCTAATCAACATTTATTAAGCCAGGGAGCATGCTAGATACAAGGGTTACAAAAACAAATTACACATGGTCCTTGTCATCAAGGACCTTGAAATTTAAAATTTGATATCAGAATGAACTTTGTAAAAATCAAGGCTTATTTCGGAAAACTGCCTTGGGCACTGTTACATGAATGTCCTAGAGCTTTCAAAAGGTCCACGACCATCTCATCTTACAAACATTGTTTGTAAAATACTTTGACTGCCTTCCCCTCCATCCACACAGATACATTCGGATTAGTATGAATCTCTGCAGAACCAGTCATTCTTTGCTTCACATTCACATACTTCATAGACAATCTGAATTTCTTTTACCTTTAATGTGCTATTCAAGGTTCGGATTTTGTGTAGTTTCTCATTTATGGATGGATTTTTGCACCGCTTAACAAAGGATTTTCTCAGCTCCTTTTTGGTTGAAGGTCGTCGGTCTCCAAGAGGAGATAGACTAGCTTGTTCTAACGATTTATACAGCTTCTCCATTTCATCATCTTCGGATGATTTTGTTTCTTCTATTAAAAAAAAAAAGTAGTAACAAAAAAATCAGTTAAAATCAAAGAAAGAACATTAGATATTATGGTCCTAAAAGTAAGCCCTGCCTTACTCCTTAATCCCTGATTTCTACCTTCCAGAACTATGAGGTGATCAATTCGTATTGTCTAAACCACTCAAGGTGTGGTACTTTGTTATTGCAAGATTTGTCCTGGCCTCTCTTCTAGCTTCTGGCAGCCTCTTGGTTTGTGGCAGCATTAGTCTAATATTCACATGGTGATTTCCCTGCGTGCTTATCTCTGTGTCCAAACTTCCTTTTATAGGAACACCAGGCATATAGAAATAAGGGTCACTCTATCATTCTTATCTCAACTAATTACATCTGCAAAAAGAAAACAATTTCCCAGTAAGGTAATGTTCTAAGGTACTAGGGGTTAAGACTTCAACATATGAATTTTGGAGGCATACAATTCAACCTTCAACATTCCACCTTCTTTCCACCAAAACATTCATGTCCTCCTAACATGCTAACTACATTCCCTCCAGCCTAACATCTCCAAAGGTTTTCACCCATTCCAACATCAACTCTAACATAAAAATCACACCCAAGTATCATCCAAGTCAGGCACTGGTGAGACTCAGAGATGATTCATCTTGGGGCAAAATTGCTCACCAACATTGAAGCTAAGGAACTAGGGAGAGTATGTGTTTCTAAAATGTAACAGTGGCACAGATCAAGCCTGAGAAAACTAATATGCACACTAAACTTTGAGAACCACTGACCTAGATGACCACTTATATCCTTCCCAGAGCTGACTTTTGAGAGAAGACTTTCATGGTCTATGGTTTTGAGCAGATAGTGATCATTCTTCTTCCTGCCACACAGACTCCTCTTCTTCTTTTTTTTTTTTTTTAAAGATTTTTGCCAGAGGGAACATGTACTCACCAGAGAGAGACAGAAAGAGGGAAGATGAGAAATTACCCCCAGGGGGAATAGCCGTGCCACAATTCCTCTCTTCCATTCATTTCTCGAAGTTTGGGCAGGCACACACATACACACACACACATACACAATATTATTTTCAAGATGCTTGGTCCAGAAATTGAACCATGGTTATCCATGTGGGAGTCCAGCACCTTAATCACCATACCATCAGCTGGCCCCCAGACTCTCCTTCTTAATTATACCTTGCCAGGTTCAGCCTATCTGATTCCAGTGAAGCAACTCCATCACAGGATCTGAGAAGACCACAGGGACTAAACTAAGCCAGTGGCAGTGCCATCTTGCCAGCCACAGCTATTGGTTTAGGATGAGTATGTATCTCAGGTCAGGCCAACTGGAATAGGAAGACTCAGTTCCAGAGCTTTGGTTTAGGATATCAGAAAATTGAACTTTCTTTTTTCTTAAACTGAATTCTGTGAGGATGTGAACCAGAAGCTTCTAGGAATCATTCCAAGATTCATGAGCATGAAGCCAGTTCATTGTGAGATATGGATCTTGATATGGATCTTGATCTAGCATTGGACATTAGAGCACTGTCAGCCTATAGAAGCCAATACATGACCTTTGTTGAGCTGCTCTAGAGTGTGGATTTAATTGTTTCCATCACATGCAACTTTACAGCCTCAAATGATACAGAAGCCACCCAAAGAAAATCTTCATCACTTGATATTTCTGTATTTTCTCACTAAGAAGTTCAGTCATTTGTTCTTTAATTTTTTGAACATAATCTTGCCAAAGGTACATGGTGAAATTTCTTTTTCTACCACATACTACTTAGTGTTTATGTTTCACTTCCTGTCCTATAAGGACAACCCTCTAAAACTTATAGCACTGAGGAACTAAAAAAAAAAAAAAAAGACTTCTACAAAGGGGAGAGAAAAAATATGTAGTAGTAATTCAGGAGCATCAAAATCATGCAAATTACATTTAACTTTAGTTTATTCCTCTAGATTAGAAATTTCTATGAAGAATTCATTCTCTCCCCTATGCCTCCCCACCACGTAAAAAAGTCAACACTAGTATTCTCAATACTCTTTTCTAAAATGGAGAACAGAGATGTTGGGCTAGTTTTGTAACTGTCTTAAATACTGGTCAGCACAACCTCTTTGTTCTGTACCAAAAGAGATTCCATAAAAAGAGAAAATACTTAAAATTACCTCTGAAGATAATCAGCTTTGGGGCTCAGGCTGCATCCAGACCGCAAAAATGGGTTTTGTCAATAACATGCACATGAAAAGATGTTCCATCTTAGTCTTTAGAAACATGCAAACTGAAACCACCACAAAATACCATTTAACACTCACTAGAGTGGTTACAATAAGATAGACAGTAATAAGTGTGGACAAAAAATTGGAACCCTCATGCATTGCTGGTGGGAACGTAAAATGAAGCTGCCACTTAGAAAACAGGTAGTTTTTCAAAATGTTAAACATAGCATCACCATCCACCCCAACAACTCTGCTCCTACATAAACACCCAAGAGGATCAAAAACATATATAGATATATTGTACATAAATGTCCGCAGCAGTACTATTTTTTTTTTGAGAGGTTTTTTGCTATAGGGCGCGTGCGCTCACCAGACAGAGAGAGACATAGAGAAAGAAAGCGAAAAATCATCCCCCCTGGGGATGGTGTGCATGCGTGCCCAAGATCTCCTCTCGGGATCTTGGGCACGCATGCACACGCGCCCGGCGTGAGATTTAAGCCACCAAGTCCGGGACGCGAACCATAGTCGACTACGTGGGAATTCAGCGACATAGCCATTACGCTACCTGCTGGTTCCCAACAGCAGTACTATTTATAACAGACAAGAGGTAGGAAGAGTCTAAATGTTTATCAATTACTGAACGAATAAACAAAATGTGGTATATGCATACAAGGAGATATTATTCAGGAATTAAAAGAAATAGAGTACTATACATCCACAATCCTATAACCTGGATGAACCCTGAAAACATCATGCTAAGGAAAAGAAACCATATATTGTATGAGTACTTTATAGGAAATGTCCAAAATACGTGACTCCAAAGAGAAAGTAGAATGATGGTGGCCTGAGGCTGGGAGGGAAATGAGAAAAGGAAAGACAGTTCATGTGCCCGGGTTCCCTTCTGTGGTGCCAAAAAGCTCTCCAACTAGATCGTGGCAATAGCTACACAATCTGAATATACTACAGACCACTGAACTGTTCTCTTTTGTGTGTAGATTTTACGATATGTGAATACATCTCAGCAAGGCTGTAAAAAAATGTTGGCTTTTATGAAATTGACATGATACTTGATAGCATTTACGCAGCAGAAATATAAAACATGATAATAATAACAGTTGTGAGGTTAAGCAGGAGACATTAGAAAGTCCTAAGAAAATTCAGTGGAAAGATATCTGGTTCTTAGAGGGGAGATTAGGATTGAAACTGGGACTTTTCAAACACACAAAGGCTTAGTAATTATATATGTCCTTTTTTGTTTGAGCTAGCTAGACAGGACTGTACTCTGAATAGAGTTTAATTATGTAACTTTCAATGCTGCAATATTTTTTAAATATTGATAATATATACTCAACAAACCTCAAGAAAAGAATAAAAAAGGCATATTACAAAGTAAAATAGAGTGACTTTATTAAATAGCATGACTTGACTGTTCTCCAGAGAGTGTGGTTGTGCTTCTAAGGTACTTGATTTTAAAAAAATTATTTTTGACTAGTTAATTTAGTTTGTAATTATGCCAGGGCAAAAAAAATGTGTCTGATTATATAAATATTAAATTGGCAAAAATACAAATTACTTTAGAATCATGTAATAATATAGAATAGAATATATTCTCTAAATGAAAATTTCTTTTTGGAAAATGTTTCTGTCATTTAATATTTTTATGGGAAAATATATGGTCTTCACAATACAGATTTCAGAGACTACCTTCTTAGCCCTCTTGGATTCTTTTCCCCAACTTACACTTTGGGGCATTAGCCATGACGTGTGTGTGTGTGTGTGTGGTGTGTTCCTCCAGCAAATAACTGGACTTTAACAAGCAGGTAGCACCTGTCGTGGTACTGAAAGTTAATATAGAATTTGCCTAAAATTGACACATGACTCATGCTTGGTACATGTGTGTGCGTATCCAAAATCCCAAGAGGAGAATGGAGGAGAAGGGATTGGAGCATGGCCATCCCCCCCAGGAGGGGGGTAATTTCCCGCTTTCTGTCTGAATGGAGAGTACATGCACCCTATAGCAAAAATCTCTCTTAAAATAAAAAAAGCAAGATTGGTATATGATGTTCAAAAAAAGAAAAAAAAGAACACTTTCTATATGAATTCACCGAGAATGAGATAATAGTAAGAAGCAATTTGTTCTGACAAAAACAAAACAATAAAGTTGTTGGAGAAAAAAAAGGAATACATGAAAAAAAGCAAACCACCACGTCAGTTCCTGCCTCTCAGTCATCCATCTTGCCCCAGAGGAAATCTGAAACTGAAGATGGTATGTCTGACCTCTAATAACCTGATTCCAGAATAAGACAATAAAATAACAAAAAGTGATATTATCAGTCAGGAAAACACCTTCCTGAGCTCTTTGGGTGTCATAATCAAAGAGATGTATAAAACATTCTTAAACACTCTGAGCACAAGCCAGTGACCAACCCAGTTCACAACCCAATCAGCTTTACTGTTTTTCACTAATGCTAATGGCAGGTGCCTGTCTTTCCAGGGCCATAAGATGAATATCAAGTAATAATGGAAGCAGGTAATAAATAGAACCACAGGACAAGTATGGGATTCAAAAGGTACAAATCCACAACTAAACATGACTTGTTTCTGGACCCAAAGCAGAGGTGAGAGTCCTTCTCAGATGCTGTACTAAAACCAGCACTGGCTTATTAACTCTTTGTTAAATAGTACCCTTGTATCTCAAAGAGCCTTGCCAGTCAACGTTTTAAAAAGCTCCCTTCCATTTTTTTATGTAAATGTTTTTTGAAATTATAATTTTATACTGGAAAGCATTAGAACATTCCTCTTATCTTAC